TTCTTTATTTCTTTTCAGGTTTTTTTTTTTTTTTTTTTGGCCTCAATGGTGATCCATCTGTGGAATTATTTTGTCTGGATTGGCTCACTTGAGTAACATCCAAAGGATCTCTTCTTTCATCGGAATGATTAAAGTGGCATCTCAGTGTTATACTGCCAGCTTTGCCCCTTTTGGAGGGTATATACTATATGTGATGTCTTGATGCATGTAGAAGTGGGGAGGTTTGTCACAATGCCCCCCACCCCTGCAGATGCCCCTAGCTCACTTAGCTATAAACCTCATGCTTGTTTTAATTTTAGTGGAACAATTGTCAAAAATCAGCAGCACAACATCTATACTTTTCCATGTTGAGGTGTATACTGCACTCACCCACTGTAATGGTTTGTGGGAAAGACCGTGGGAGACTGGCAAAGAGATGCTGCCAAGGGAACAGTCAGATAAGAGGTAGCTTAGCCCGCAACTGGATAGTGAGCAGGGCAAGAATCTCAGAACAGGCCTTCCCTAGCTTTTCAGGCTTGCAAGATTGATGTCGGCCTTGCAGGGTCAACCAGATAGGAATCACAACTGGATGAGCTAATTCTATTTTATTCTAAAGCTACATTGAATGAATCTTGTTCTATATGAGTTCTATGAGGATTAGAATAGAAATCACACCAAAGCAACCCAAATCTCTTGGGTGCAACATGGCCCACCCATTCTGTGTCATATATTTTCTTTCCCACTCTCATCTTTCGCAACAGTGGTCAACCAAATGTTGCCCACTGATAATGAAAACTAAATGGTGTAATATGTTAACCAAAAGAAATATTTTCTCTAAATTAGAAATATTGAAATAGGAGTAAGAAGACCTGTTTCAATCTCAGCAAAAAACTGACTAGTAAGGAGATAAGAAAGTATCAACTTCCCAATTTCTGACCCCAGACCCATGTTGGGGGAGGGGGGAAGAGGAGTGGGAATATTTGAAGATTTTTTCTTATCCCATGGAAACTGTTTCAAGGCCCCTAGATTTCACCGTCAGTTACAAAACATTATTGCTATCTAACATGGAATTTGCTGTTTCAGAAATATGAATTTCCCAAAGGAGTATGGAATAAGCTGTGCGATCCCTTTGATCTGGGTCTCTGTTGCAATAGATAAATTGCTCAATGAATTACATTGTTTGCTAGGTTTGAAAAAAAGATTAGTTTAACCTCAGGCTCAAAATATTAGTTGCATTTAAGTCCCATTGAAATCAATGACACCCCCCACTCCTGAATAGTTTCCAATGGAGTTTAATGGATGGGGTACAACTAACTTTGAAAGAAAATGCTAGTCTGAAGATCAGAAAATCACTTATGATGGGAAGAACTACAAATAACCCATTGTAGATTCTTTACAAGAATATACTCTTTTTCTTGGAAAGCAAAATTCACTTATAACATAATTCCCATTTGTATTAGTGGTCCTTAAAACTGTGTTATACTCGAGAGATTGTACTTATGTGTAATACTGGCCCTCAAGTGTAATGTGGCTGTTCATGAATGTGTTAAATTTGAACACAGAAAAGGGGGGAAAAAAAAGATGAGCAGAATGCATTTGCTTCATAGGCTGGTAAAGAAATAATGTGTTGAGAAGTTGGATGGAAAAACAACATTTCAAGTTTGTTCCACTTCCATTTCTAATAGGAGGATGCGATGCACACTGTGAGTAAAAATGCTGAAGCTCAACATTGTCCTTAAGGAAGAGATAGGAGGATTCATTTAGTTCAGTGATTCAGTATCCAAAACCTGTGCAAAGAGATTTCTGTAGCACTTCAAAATCTTCTCACTCAGCATGCAAGGGTTTGACATTGGAATTCACGTATCTATTGAGTTTATATACTTGCTGCTTACCTTCTGTACATTATAATTCAAATGCCTTACCATCAAAATGCATAAACATGAAAGAACATTTCAAGAGCTTAAAAGACAAAATCAGTCAGCTTAGCAGAAATTCAGCACAGGAGTAAAATAAATAGGGACAGAACCAAAGGAAAATGAGTAGGCTCTGAAAATAAGCAGCAACAACAAGAATAAAAACCTGGATCCAGCACAGATTCAGTGGGGTTGGTCTTCTCTACAGTGTAGAGGGTCAGCAGCTGATTGCTGCATCACTAGATCAGCAACAAAAGGGAAGTTTTAGGATAGCAATAGCAGATCTTTCTGCTGACCTCCCAGTTGTGATGACTGTCATGTGATGACTAGATTTTTGGACAGGAGCTCAAGAGGACGGTGCTGCCCTCCACAACTAACTTCAGTCTTTCAAAATTCTGCAGGAGTGGTTACTGTAAACCAGACCCAAATTAGTCATAAAACTAGCAGCTTGTAAAGCTAAAAACAATGCTTCAGATTTATTTATACAAGTAAGAGAGAAATGAGGTGGGTGGGTGGATGTGGTTTGGCGTGTGGTTCATTAAGCAAGCAAATCATAGCAATGCAATACAGATGCAAAAAAGCACGCACATTTCTATTTCAGTGTTTGACAAACGTTGCAGCGCTATAGGACTTAAATTAACAGTTATATTACAAACAGTCTATTTATAAAAGAAGAGTAAAATGAGAGGGGAAATTATAGGAAAGGGCTGGAAATTGGTATCATAAATGAAATGACTCAAAACTATTTGACCACATAAATGTTTTAAAGACGTCAAGCATAAAAGCCATCACAATGAATGATTTTTTTTTTGTTTTTATTTGGTTTGTGTAATATAATTTGCATCCGTTCACATGAACCTTTCTCGTTGACATTGCTCAGACATAACATATCAGCATCCAGCCATAATAATAGCTGTCATTTCTTTTTTCTGCATCATTTCCTACTGCCAATTGCACTGATAGTTTGAGGAAGGAAGGAAGGAAGGAAGGAAGGAAG